CAAATTCTCGACCAGAAACCTACCGACGCCCCCCTCCTGGCCTGCATCCCCACATCCGGGAGAGCTCTGTTCTTGGGGACCCCCCCCACCCCACAATTTCTCGCCAGAACCTACCGACGCCCCCCTCCTGGCCTGACATCCCCACCCCGGGAGAGCTCTGTTCTTGGGACCCCCCACCCCACAATTTCTCGCCCAGAACCTACCGACGCCCCCCTCCTGGCCTGACATCCCCACCCCGGGAGAGCTCTGTTCTTGGGACCCCCCACCCCACAATTTCTCGCCCAGAACCTACCGACGCCCCCCTCCTGGCCTGACATCCCCACCCCGGGAGAGCTCTGTTCTTGGGACCCCCCACCCCACAATTTCTCGCCCAGAACCTACCGACGCCCCCCTCCTGGCCTGACATCCCCACCCCGGGAGAGCTCTGTTCTTGGGACCCCCCACCCCACAATTTCTCGCCCAGAACCTACCGACGCCCCCCTCCTGGCCTGACATCCCCACCCCGGGAGAGCTCTGTTCTTGGGACCCCCCACCCCACAATTTCTCGCCCAGAACCTACCGACGCCCCCCTCCTACCGACGGCCCCCCTCCTGGCCTGACATCCCCACCCCGGGAGAGCTCTGTTCTTGGGAACCCCACCCCACAATTTCTCGCCCAGAACCTACCGACGCCCCCCTCCTGGCCTGACATCCCCACCCCGGGAGAGCTCTGTTCTTGGGACCCCCCACCCCACAATTTCTCGCCCAGAACCTACCGACGCCCCCCTCCTGGCCTGACATCCCCACCCCGGGAGAGCCACATTTTGAAAACAACTCGCCCTCAATCCGTAAAACTCTCGCAAATGTGCAAAATGAATGTGCACGACGCTAGCGGGAGAGCCACATTTTGAAAACCACCCGCCCTCAATCCGTGAAACTCTGGCAAATGTTTAAAAACGAATGTGCGCGGCGCTACGGCGAGAGCCACATCTTAAAAACCACCCGCCCTCCATCTGCGAAATTGTTGCCACGTTTTAAGCTTCAGTGCCATACATAATAAGGAATCTCGGGCGAAACGCCCGGCCCGCCCTACAAAAAAAATAAAAAAGTCCAGACCTTCTTTGGGGTCGGCGGCAGAGGCGGCAGCCTTTAGATTACCTTACGGACGCACCTAGGACAGAAGAACATCCTTCAAGGACATGAGACCCTCCGCAGGCCAAACTGAAAAATATTCGCGGGTACCCTCCCCCAGGATGCAGAAGAACATCAAGCAAGCACGAAGCATACTGGGTACCCTGTCCGACCGTATTTCAAGCGTCCGCTCCACCAGCTCTAGGACTGGGACGACCGGTACCAGGAGGGCCTGCTCTCGGCGAGCCAGACCAGTGCCTAGTCAAACTGTGCCACGACGGGACCTTCTGCGCAAGATCCCCGGAGCTGTCAGCGCTGCACTCGAGAAGAGGGCTGGCAGGTTCGAGAAGCTGATCGCTAAGGCAGACCAGGCTGCATGTTGCCCACGCTGAGGCCGATTGGGCCCTAGAGATCTTGAAGGACAAGATCAATGGGAAGTACCCCCAGGGCATGAAGGCGTTCGCCGGATCTGTCTCCCGGACGGAGTTGGATGAACCCCTCCTGCACTGCAAGACGGAGAAGCAGTAGCTCACCGTCGATCTGGCCCAAGGCATCACGAAGCGTGAGGCGATGCGCCTGATGCACCACGAGTGCTTGTTATTCCTCAAGACGTACATGGCCGAGGGCCTCGACGAGCAGCTGACGGACCTCAAGCGACTCACTTCAAACTACCAATTTCATGGCACGTGTTGGGTGTTTTCCGATAGCACAGTGCGGGTAAGGCTTCTGTATTGGGCATGGATCCAGTCAAGCAGCGCAAGGCCGCCCTCGACGGGAAGGCAAACAGGCCGAGAAAGCGGCCAAGGCTCAGCCAGAAGAGCTTCTGGGCCAGCAGACTGGTATGAAGTTGCAGGCGAACTTGTAATTAAGAACGTTCCTTCTAACACATGAGCATCGTTTAATCGATTCCTCTCCCCACGGGCGTGGCCTGGGCCACACTGGCCGATGTATCCCCCTAGATGGGGATATAGGCTGATCTCTTCGAGTTTCGAGGGGCACATCCCCCAACTGGGGTGGTGGGATGGTTGGGATCGGGATGGGGATGGGGATGGGAATCGGTGAAACGATACTGAGCACAGATGAAGATGCGGCAGCTGCCTGGCCGAGGTTCGCCGAGGCTGCCAACGTAGCGGCTGCAACAAAAACGGACCGCGCCCCGGGGGCCGCCCAGGGAACCAGCGCCAAAGACCGCGACGCAGCGGGCTGCTGGACGGGCCACGCTACAGGCAAGGACAAAGCCTCGGGCAAGGGGAAGGACAGGGCAAAATTAGACACCGCTCTTGATCCGGGGATCTGCGGACCCCGGTCAATCCAGACCCTGGCCAGTCAGGACCTGCAGGACCGTGCGTGATCCTATGGGATCCTGCAGGGTCCTGCACCGAAGCCCGGGTCATGTCCTGCACAGAAGCCCGGGTCAGTGCGCCTCTGGCCCTGCAGGATCTTGCGCGATCCGGCGCTCTGACTGACCCCCGTGTGCATTGACCCCCGTCTCTTGAGCCCCGATTGATGGGGGAGCAGGAAGGGTCCGACCTCCGAGGTAGGGGGGGCGGGCCGTAACATAGCGCCAGCACGGCACTTATAATAGCAATTGGCAATGGCAATCGCAGTACCTCAGTAGGACTACCGCTCAAGGCCACGACGACGACGAGGGCGACGACGACCACCAGCGGCGACGACAACAACGACGAGAACGACGACGACAACCAGCCAGGACGGCGACGGCGGCGACGACGACGACGACGACCAACGGCGACGGCGACGGCGA